GATGTTTTTGTTCTTCTCCTGACTGGTTTTGACAAGAGGAGCCTGGCTGTTAGTACGTCATATGCTTCGTTGATCTGATTGGTTTATTTGGCCCGTCTATCACCAACATAGGCCAATCAGCTAACCAGTATTTTTGCCCCTTCCCAAAATTACTTCAACGGAAGGTTTCCAGATGGATATGCGGAACAAATCCATCTAACGGAGTCAGGTTACCTTATTATCAGATTATATGTCTATCAGGTTATTAATCGAAAAATAATTCTACTGTTTGCAAAATAATCGTTAGTTGTAGCCCTAGTGATAAATCATGTAATAATTCCATCACTGTTCTGAGTAGCAGTGAGGGAACTATCCTTTTCCTTCATTTCATCTTTGTGGACTTTTAATCCCCCTGAATTAGTGTCGTTTGTCAATCAGCTGATTTTTGTATTTTCTGCAAATAGAGGGAAAAAAATCACAGCTTTCAGCCAACTGATCAACACTGCAGAGAAAGGGGCAGGAATTTATTACCATCAGCCCCATAAAGCCTGAGAAGTCTCTCATTGAAAGGGCTTTAAACCAATAGAAAATGTCATGGTTTTAAACCAGTAACCTTCTAAGACTGAACGTAATTTCCTACTGGTAACGAGCCCATGTCTTATGCAGAACTAAAACAGCCCCTTTCCATTTGTTCTGATTGTCTAAATCATCAGTGTGAGTTTGGAAAATTGAAAACGTGTGTTTTAGTGGAATACAGGGAGATGCTACTAAAAACGTCCATTTATTTTTCCCATCTTAGCTGTTAATAAAGAGAAAGTCTTATTTAAATAGAAGCAAACCATGTCGTTCATTTTTTCTGCCTGTATTTTAGTCCACCGACCAAATAGGAAAATAGTCACATTTCTGCAAATCCTGTTGAAGAAATGAAATCATAAAACTTTAAATACAGAAAAGCACTGATGCACTACAGAGAACCTGCACACTGATGCACAACTAAGCTGCAAATATCGCAATTCAGGAATTTAAGAACTTTTTGCATGCAGTATTTGATTTGGCTGTAATCTGAGGTGTTATGAAATATGTTTTCGGCTCATTAGATCAACTGGTTTGTCACCATGTTCCCCCTAAATGACACATAATGTTACAAGGAAACAGATGCTTTAAGCTGATATTGCCAAGAAGATAAGAACAATTATAGGGAAGTAAATTGTGATCGTTTCTTGGCCTCTTTACAGACTTTCCACTTGCCAATATTCTGCTGACATCCTTTTTTTTCTTTGATCTTTTTCTGCAGGGCTGCAACCCCCTTGCACAGACCGGACGCAGCAAACTGCAGAACACGCGAGCCGGTCTGAACCAGCAGATCATCAAACAGATGAGGATGAGGGCCGGAGCTGAGAATCTGCTGAAGTACGTCCAACTCAGACTCGCACAATAGCTTCATGAAAAAGATTTATGACCTTATTTGATTTATTGGTTCCTCCTACAGCGAGGATCACGCTATAATGCTTTTAATTTGGGACAAAAATAGTCCAATATCATGAGGTTAGCACATGCAAAACATTTGTTTGCATGTGTTGCACAACGAAAAATTGAAAATGATTATATCACTTTGGCATAAGTGAACTGAAGTAAACTCTAACTAGTTTTCCGTTTGACCGGCCAGGCTGCACCTCTTCCACTCTGTGGTCGCAGGGATTTGATGATAAAGCTCTCTAACAGGAGCATTCCAGTTAGCCTGGAAACAAAGACGCACTGTGACGAGAAAAAAAAGAACATTTTTGCTCCAGAACCTGTCCCTCTGATCACAATCCTTCACACATCAGCTCCGGTTTAGTTTGCTCTCTTTAAATTTCACCTGCGTTGTCCTTTATCTGCCCGACCTGCTGCTGAGACCTGCATAGATTTAGATTGGAGGGTCTCTTTATTTAAATTTAGCATTACTGAAGTTTTCCTTTATTATAGATGCAGATTTCCTTTGCTAAAACTAAGGGAAGATCTAATAATTCCAGTTACTTTAATTAAATAGTGATCTTAAAGACACTGTTTAATTTTAAACATGAGATTTATTATGTCTTGATTAGAAGGTTAAACTTTTCTTTTATTTAACATTTAATTTTTTTGTTTAACCTTCATTTGATAATCTTTTTAACACTATCCTCAAACAATACAAACATATGAGCTATCTTTTTTGGAGATTTATCATCTAAAACTCACGGAAGAGGATTAGGGCCAGCGGGAAAAAAAAAAAAAAAGTTAACTTTAATCTCAGAATTCTGACTTTTTTCTCAGAATTCTGACTTTTTTC